CCACATCACAGCAAAGGCTTCGCAAGCTCAGCCAATTATCTCTTCCCGAGCAATGTATCATCTTATTTAACCCGAAAACAAGATGTTCTTGACTAACAGAATCTTTTAGTTGCGTTGCGCTGATCCCAAACTAGAAAGAGAGATGGATCAATTGTTCTTTGAAAAGTGTAGCACCCGGTACACGGTAAACAAAAAACTCGGATTCCGAGGCGGAAATCTCGATTTCCGAGGTTGTCCTAATTCCGAGCTACCGATTCCGAAATCGTGTAAATATGTCTCTAAAACCGAGTCACCTTCTACCCGATTCCGAAAAACGATTCCCGGATTTCGAGAGAGGATTCCCGGATTACGAGCTCCATACCTCGGAATCAGAGCAGAGCGGCTCTAAATCAGGCTTTGGATGCTCGAAATCGAGAGGATGCCTTAAAAGTCGATTTCCTGCCTCAAAAATTAAAATTTCCAATTTTTTCACGCCTTGGATTCCGAGTTTTTTGTTTACCGTGTAGCACCTGATGTTTTTGACTACTTTCAATTTCAATTAACTTTTTTTTTTCCTTTTTTTACCACCCAGGGACTTCAAATTCATTAGGTTACACCAACATGCCCATCCAATGCAATGTATGCCAGACGAAGATTTCTTCTCAAAGCGAATACACCGTACACATGAGGATGCACACTGGATGTGAACGATTTGAATGCACGGTGTGCAACAAAAAGTTTGCTAAAAGTTACAAACTGCGTGTGCATCTTCGAACCCACACAGGAGAACGACCCTTTGAGTGCACTTTATGCAACAAGAAATTTGTTGAGAATGGCAATCTGCGTGCGCATCTCCAAACCCACACAGGAGAACGACCTTTTGACTGCACTTTCTGCAACAAGAAATTTGCTCAAAGAAGCTCTCTGCGTGAGCATCTCCGGACCCACACTGGAGAAAAACCCTTTGAGTGCACTTTATGCGACAAGAAGTACGCCCGTAGTAGCCTTCTGCGTGTGCATTTCCGAACCCACACTGGAGAACAACCCTTTGAGTGCACTGTATGCAAGAAGAAATTTTCTTATGAGAAATCTTTGCACAGTCACCTACGAACCCACACAGGAGAACGGCCTTTTCAGTGCTCTGTATGCAACACGAAACTTGCTCAAAGTAGCAATCTGCGTGTGCATCTCCAAACCCACACTGGAGAAAAACCTTTTGAGTGCACTTTATGCGACAAGAAGTTCGCCCGTAGTAGCCATCTGCGTGTGCATTTCCGAATCCACACTGGAGAAACCCCTTTCGAGTGCACTTTATGCAACAAGAAATTTGCTCAAAGTAGCCATCTGCGTGTGCATCTCCAAACCCACACTGGAG